GCCGTTTAGTAATCAATCATACTGTCAAAATTACCGTGCATTCATCACCTGAAATGAATGATGTACCACCAAATAACACGAGCAAGGTGAAAAATAACGTCATCTTTATCTTGTTATTCTATGGACAAACATGCAAAATATGTACTAAGCTTTAAATGGCTAAAAAGTCTAACGTGCTAAAGAATATAAGCAGGTTTTTATCAGTATAAAATAATTGTTCATTTTCTGCCAACAGCTGTGTGACATGCAATGTGCGGAGTATTGATTGAAATTATTTCGTGAATCATCAGATAGGTATTTCCCCATAAAGGGACTGAGATTAGCGTTTTTCAAGATTTGTAAGTAAACTCAAGGAAATCTAAACAAGGATCAGGCCGTACTCAAGAGCTATTTGATTAAGAGAAGAAATTATACTTACGTTCCGTTATGAAGCTGCCTCCAGCACGCTTTAAACTCAACCTGGAAATGATCGATATTTCCTGCCGGCCCAGCGAACAATTTCACTTGAATGCTAATCTTAAGCATAGTGAAGAGTTTAATTTGCATAACAATGAACATCCACTTAACCACGTTGGCCAGCTAATAATAAGATCCGCAGTTATCATACATAACAATTGTACTTTTTACATCCTGCTTTTAAAAGAAAATAAATTGTCGATTTGCCTGAATCATTTTAAAAGTACAATAAGGCTTGTAAAAAGTTAAGAGCAATTTTGATATTTTGTCCATCTTTTGGTGATTTACTGAATTGCTATAGCGATGATAGTTCGTGCATTTATTCACAGTAAAAATTTATTTAATCATTGTCAAGGTTAAACACTGAACCAACTGGCTGCTCCGATCCCAAAACGATGTGGAATAATCAATAAAACAAATCTTTCTGTTTGCAAACTGACGATACATTTGCCTATAGCATCCTGGCGACAAATATAAATCAACTGCTCCATAAAAATACAATAACTCCCGTTAAAAGAAAAATTTCCGGCGTACGAAAAAAATTACATATTTATAATTACATGCCGTGATTGTTTGAGTTCCGCCTTATTTCATGATAGATTTCAAAGAAAAGTAAATATCTATTGTGATTTTAATATTCGTATATTTCTATCTTTACTTTCAGGTAAACACCTTAAAATCGACATTGATATTTTTTATTGTATTCTCCGTCTTCAAGTGTCAAACCCACTAATTGGTTAAAAATGACTAACCTTGAAAGGTTGCTACGGTACTTCATGGGATCAAATCTCACTGACAAGCAAACTTTTGGTCACTTCACTGCTTCACAAGGGGTAAATTATTACCATACTGCTTGATTTGGAAGCTAACAGAAGGATGAAATAAGAAACCAATTCTGTAGACAGAATGTTTGCCTATTTTTTTTTTCAAAGAAGAGCTCGGATTTGTTTATGCCATCCTGTTATCTTGACCTAACGAAGAAACGAATTTATAGATCTGGGTGATGCATGGACCAAGTTTGATCATGATATCACGATGAATGTTATTAGGTTCTAACAAAAGTCTCCTAAGGGAGAGTGCTTTTCTCTGTCCCTTTATAATTTGATTTTTCTTCCTATAACCCTCCGAGAAAAATACAAATCATGCGAATCGCGCGAGTTGTAATTTAATTTCCCCTGATTTTAAGTCTACTTTTCTAACCTAGCAGAAAATTACTATGTTCTTTGTACTTTTTTTCTCGAATTCAGACTTAATTAATCAATATCCATAATGTAACATATTACTCAATTCCATAGTAGTTTACTATGAATAAACAGATCGGAAGAAGAACACGCAGTGATAAAGAAGAGAAAGGAAAGATAATGTATCGCCAAGCAAATAAGCCGAGGATTAATTAAAGGAAAAAAAAAAACAACGAAGAATAGTCTTGTTACCTGTTCTTCCTGTTTTGTAGGATGATTTAACAGAACAATAGGCAAATACATTTACTTTAATGGTTTATTTTATTTTAGATTCACTCTATTAAAGCATTCGTCAAATCCAGTGTTGAAAGCCATTTCTGTAGTGACCTCAGTTTAGAGCGATCCACCTCCACTTCCATTCCCTCCTTTGAAGATAACAACATGTTCATCTCCTATTAGTAAGTTACCAACTATTCATAAAAGANCAGAAATATATAAACCAAGCAAATATAGCCTTCATGAAACATTAGGGGGGTGGTTTGGCCCCTACGTGCAATCATAAGCTAATCAGCAAGGGTGTTCAAGTTCAACAAATTCTTCCTTACCAAGGCTATTCTCCCGTCCTTGGGGACGAGGTTGCGCCGCAAGTAAACATGGCGGACATTTGCTGAATTAAATTTTCATTTATTCGAAAGACTCCAAGTTCAGGATATTCGAAAGAATGGAGAATTTTCAAAATGACTGCTGTCGCCCTTGAACCAAAAATCTTTTCAAGAACTCGTATTCAAAGCATTTAAGAGTCGTAAACGAAGTGGTTACGTTGATCACAGGTCAGATTGATTGACCGAAATTTATTTACCTTCAAACTAAAGCTACTCATCAGACGATGAGTACAACTGTTACTGAAGTCAACAACGATAAAACAAAGGTACCAGTTGAATTAATATTTCGTAGTGTTTCGCTTGTTTGTTTTACTGCGCCGAACTCCATGAGTAAATTGATTCACAATCGATATAAATGTAAGCATATTATTAGCACTACGGCTATACAAACGAGCAATTGCGTCTGTTACTATGCTTTAGTCCGTTATTTTGTAGTCTTGATACCCACCTCTGAAAATTATACTAAAACAATTATTCGCTTCAACCCTCGACTTCGTCTCGGAGAATATTCGCCAATGTTCACTTGGCCTTTGGCGAATAATTGTTACATATCATTATCACATGCTACTGTGTTCTGACACTTACTTCCGCAGAAACTTCCTCCATTCACCGACCTGCCATGTTATTTTTTTCCTGTCATTGAAAATTTTTTCAGAAAGTGCCCTGGTGTAGGGTCTATCTTGATAACATCCAACTTTCTCGTATTTAACCTCACATCCTTCTAGTTCATCTGAAAAAAAGACGAATATGGTAAAAAGAGAGGTAATAATATTTTATCATAATATTGCTCTTTTCAAGCTTTACACAGTCAAGTTCGAACCCCGATTTCTCCTTCTGGGTGACTCTACTTCATCGGGCCATCGCGCTCGACGTACGTTTCTGAATCATGTATTTTCATTACAAGCATTATCAGTAAAAGTTAATAAAAAGTGAAAATGAAAAACAAACATTTTTCACCTTCCAACGACCATGACTGGACTATTCCTAATGTCAGAACAATCAAGCAGCCAGCTGTTAACATCAGATGCATACTGTGGCTAAAACATACAAAATTTGATGGAACAGTGGATAATTATTGCAACGCAGTTATAGCATTATTTTCCGTTCCTCTAGTAAAACTAGTGTTGAATTATATTCTCAGATATTTTAAGGGTTTTTGTGGGGGATTTTAACTTTAACTATTTTGTGGTTCTTTTCTTATTTCAGGGAGTTTTAGGGTTCAATTTAATAGCTTTAGGAATTTTAGGTACATTTGGGTTATTTATCTCAATGAGCTATCAAAGAACTAATGGATAAATTTATATCATTTACAAGCCAGTGGCTTTGATTTGGATTTATGAACACACAAATTTTTGCTCAAGGATCATTGTATTTCAGGAACGGATTTTACAAATAAACACCGTATGTCATTAGTTATTTGATAGCAAGCTAAACATATTGATCCGGGGACAGCTATATTTATTCGTGACTTACAGGACCTTGTGTTTAAGTCAACGTATTTATCCATTTCATCACTTTCATTTTCAATTTAGTCTACCCTTTGGGCATATTTTGGGTATTTCAATATTGTGATATTTGTGGCTTTCGGTTTTATCATATTTATTCTCGGGCACTCATATTTTTGGCCCAACTTATTTTAAGATTAAGTGGCTGATGCCGATGGCCATCTTAGAAACAATTCTCTTAACCAGTGTTGATTTAGTAGGTCAGACTCCGTAAATGAGAATCTTGGTTCGGATGTAATTTTCTTTAAAAGGGTGAATCGGGACAAACAACTAGAATTTAGAAAATTAAGATCCGCAACTGTACTTACGTTCTATTCATCTAGTAAGCTAACTCAACTACCAAATGATGATTTTAACTGTTGTGCGTCCGGATAAAACAATCTCTTGTAGCAAACAGTTTGTTTTATACTGTAGAAAGCTCGCACCTCCAGACGCAGGACCGCATATTGATAAGTTTTCCAGAGCTCATTAAATCTAGTTTTCAGTCGCATGCCTAACACCTTCTCAATCCTTTGTTCTCGACTCGTGGATTTAGGCCTTAACTTAGAATGTTTCCTCTAACGAAAACATAAACGTTTTTCGATAGAAACTTAGCTTAAAATGATAACTTCCTCTCTTTCCGATTATTGGTCTTTCTAAAATATTCCTTAGCATAGAGGGTCCTTGAAATACAAATCTTTGCACAAACACAGAAACTGAGCTAAATGATAAATTCTTTTGTATTTGCCATCTCCAACAGCTGAAGTCACCCAACTTATCCATAACAAAAGAGCTTACTTTAGCTGTAATGAGAAAATTCCAACCGATTTATATCAGTGCGACGTGAATAGTCGTTGTAAGGTATATAATCGACTGTCAAGCGATACACAGTTAAAGAAGTGGCCCGAAGAACTGTTTCCTCTTTGGATGTGCTAACTTACAAAATCTGCCCGGTAACACTAGCTTAGTTTACGCTCGAAGCTCTCCCACTTGCCTTTCACCTGTTCTTTTAAGCACCTCTCCAT